CATTCTCGGAGCAGATACATAATAGGAAAAATGCGAGAAAAGATAAATTTGCACTACTACAATTGAGAGTGCGACCTATACACTTGTTCTAGGAATTTAAATAGCAAAAGGTGAGAAAAATAATGTTAGAAAAATGTTAAATGCCCTAAAAATTCTATGTGTTAGAAAAGATATTTTTGGTGCTTTTGTAGAAAATAGTTTAAGTTAATAATTAATAAAAACCTAATTATTTCTAATTAATGTTAATATTAAGAAAAAGCTAATTAACTTAAATAATTAATAAATAAAAATATGTCAAAAATTTAATTACTAACTAAAAACCCTAATCCTAATTTGTTATGGTTTTGAAAAAAGTTTAAGGTTTGTTAATGGTTAATTAGAAAATAGATTAATTAAGAAAATGGTATAAAAACTAGGGTTAGTAAAATAGGAAAAAAAAGTATGGGGTGGGAGTTGAACCCATACCCTCAGTCTCAAAGAATGCTCTGCTTTCCACTAGGCCATGTGTTGCGTTTGTGATTGAGAATAACCACTGATCCATTTTTAACAAAGTCATATGAAATCCTGAAAAAAGCAAAATTATTTGACAAGAGGAGGGATCAAACCCACGCCTCTATGGTTAACAGTCATCACACTTATCACTCATCCATCAGTTATTACGCGTTCATATTACCACTATCATTCAATATATAATAAAAATTAATTCATAAAATCAGAAATCAAACAAAATTAAATGCGCGCGTGTTAGTGTGGTCTGGGGTTTTAAATGGACCAATGGGGGAACGTCATGCCTAGGTCGCCTGAGTCAGGAGAGTCAAACTACCGTGGAGGGTGGTAAACTTCATCTACTCCGATTATGGGGTTTTGAAAACCTACAAAAACAGATGAAAATGAAAGATCTAATAACTCAAATCCACTAGTTAGCATGCTGGGAGTTTAATGACATGGTTACTTTGGCCTGAAAATGCCCGTAGCACAGAATATGAAGCTCAATCGAAGCTTTGCCCTAACAACGTCAAATCTTTATCCCTGCATCAAACCTCACAAATAATGGTTCTAAATTGTTCCAAATATCATTATGAACATGTATGAGTACATCAAATCATTCAACAATGCGTATATAAAACGTTTGAGACTAAAGAAGGTTACCAAACCAGTGATGTTGAGGGAGAGAGTTCTTGCATGCTTCGATCTTGAGTGACGATTGGTATGAACTCATGGGACCTTCAGGAGGCGGATGGAATGGTTGGAATTGATTGATATAGTCTGTAGATAAGGGTTTATGTTTCCGCTAGTTCTTGAAAATTTTGAGAGCTTTAAGGTTTGTTCTTGAGGCAGCCTTCATGTTGTTTACCATCTGAAGTTGTTGTGTATTTATAGGAGAATATTTAGGTCAACATTTGTGAGATGACTCTTTGTATTTCATGGTGAAGAGATTTGATTTGAATTTTGCACAAATAACTTCTATTTTAGGCCAAATCAAATATTCATGATCCCACACGGTTTCTCCAGCATAATTATGTGATTTTAGATTTATGATTTGATTCAAAAACAGATCCACACGCCTTGTATCATTTATTTGGTTTTTTATTTGATTTATTTTGATTTTAATTGAATAAAATCAAAATAAAAAGAAATAAAAATCACAAAAATATATAAATGAATTTAGAGGTCTAATATAAGGTCATTGTTGTACCCCAAAATTTTCTCTCTCATTTCTCAAGGCATTTCTCACAAGGATTCTCAAAGTTCAAGCTTTCATAAGTACAAATGGAGGAAACTGTTAAAAAGAGAAAAACAGATAAAAATAATCTTTTCAACAAAATTGGAGAAAAATAAGTTTTCTTCGATTTCCCTTGCTTCGATTGGATTTTTGGTCCCCTGCAAATCTACTTCGATTCACAAGGCTTCGATTGGACTTTGGTCTCCTTCAGGCCTTCTTCGATTTACCTTATTTCGTTTGGACTTTGGTTTCCTTCAGGACTTCTTCAATTTCCCTTGTTTCGTTTGGACTTTGGTCTCCTTCGGGCCTTCTTCGATTTCCATGGTTTCATTTGGACTTTAGTCTCTTTCAAGACTGCTTTGATTGGACTAGGACTTCTTTCATGCTTCCTTCGATTCATAAGACAGTAGCATCCTTTGTTCCTCTTTTGAATCTGGACATTTTAGCCTCCTACATGCACCTTTCATTTGGGCACGTGGTTCCTTCAGTAGAAGCTACTGGTCACACCCTTCGTTTGGGCACATGAATCCTTCAGCACAAGGTTTTGGTCAAACTTTTTGTTTGGCCCTTTGACTCCCTCCATGCTTTCTTCGTTTAGGCACGTGAATCGTTTAGTCCAAGCTAGTGGTCACAATCTTTGTTTAGGCACATGAATCCTTCAACACAAGGTTTTGGTCAAACATTTCGTTTGGGCATTTAAATCCCTCCATGCTTACTTCGTTTGGGCACATGAATCTTTCAGTATAAGCTACTGGTCACACCTTTTGTTGGGCATGTTGGTTCCCTTCATGCAAACTTCGTTTGAACATAGATCCCTTACATGTTTGCCTTGAGTCACAAAGAAGTGACCTCCTGCATAAACCCTTTCGTTTGGGTATCTAGACCCCCTGGCAGGCAAGCCTTCGGTTGGACAAGAGCCACCTACATATAAAGTTTCGATTGAAGTTTTGATTCCCTTCAAATCAGCATCTTTCGAACCCAACTCTGGATCCTTCGAAGCAAGTTTGAGCAAAGCTCATGGCCTTACCCTACTTGTCAGGCTATGTTGCTTCCAAATCTTTACATAATCAGAAGCTTGTACAAAGGTTCGAAGCTTTTCCTACTGGATAATACTATTCTTGGTTAAACTAGCAAAAGCTACGTACTTTTTTTCATAGAAAGTACTTTTATCACAAAAGCAGCTTCCAACCTGATTTTTGTATGAACACAAGCAATGCCAGTAGTATAAGTCCAATCTTCTGCCAGCAGGCCCCCACTTGTACTGGAAACGTGGGAACAACGAAAAGGGACAAGACTTGTTTCACCCTTAACCAAACTATGGTTTGTCATCATACAAACCTGCTTACTTCAAAAACACCTTTATCATTTTCTCTATAAATAGAGAAACATTTGCAAAGAAAGGGGGACTTTTTTGCCAGAGGTCGAAATCCTTCGATTGATAAAGAAACAATTTCGAGAGAAATGCGAACTAGGAACACGATTACAAGAGCAAATCAGTGGGGTGTCGTTGTTCAGCCAAAAAAGATTCACAGGTTTGATCGAAACCCTTCTGATACCATGTCAGTAAAATTGACTTCATGCCTTTCTCATTGCATTTGATATTATATATAATAGTGTCGGTAATTATAAGTAATTACAACTCATAATGACTAATTACAACTCATAATAACTAACTTCTTATTCTATAAATGAAAATTATTCACAATAAATGCAAAGATTATTTCCTGATTAACATTAGTGAGTTTGGTAGCTATTCATAGTTGAAAATTGGCCCAAGTAACAATGGTTTTTTAAATGGTGACCTTAATGAGAAAATTTACATGGATTTTCCATTTGGATATCCAAGTGAAGGGGAGCACATGTTAAACATGTAAACTAAATAAGTCTCTTTATGGCTTGAGACAAGCATCAATGCAATCTTACCACAAGTTTTCTACCACTATAATGCAGCATGGTTTTCAATCATCATCCGCTGATCATTATTTATTCACAAAGAGCAGTGGATCTTTAATAATTGGGTTGCTAGTCTAAGTAAATGACATAGTCTTGGCCAGTCCTGATCTAGTTTTGATACAGAAAACTCAGAAATTGCTTCAAAGCATGTTTAAACTTAAGTTGCTGGGAGATCTTAAGTATTTCTTGGGTTTAGAGATTTCTAGATCAGCTAAAGGTATTCACCTCTATAAAAGAAAATACACTCTCCAATTGCTAATGGATATTGGTTTTATTGATGCCAAACCTCTTCCTTTGACAATGGATCCAAATGCAGTTTTCAATGATGATGATTATGATGGACGGGCATTGGAAGATGCTTCCTATCATAAAAGAATGATTAGGAGGCTACTCTATTTGACTATATCAAGACCAGACATTTCTGTGCAGTCAATAAATTAAGTCAATACATGGCAAAGTCCAAATTACCTCATTTGTATGGCATACATCAGATACTGCATTACTTGAGAGGAACTCCAGCACCTCAGCAATACAAATGGCAAACAATCCATTGAGTCATGAAAGAGCAAACATATAGACATTGATTGTCACTTCATAAGAGAACATGTAGCTTCAAGTTTCATGAAGTTGATTCATATTCCTTCCTTCAAGGCACCAGTTGGCAGATCCTCTTACAAAAGCATTGTCTAAGACTTTGTTTTCTAGTCTTATTTCCAAGTTAGGCATTTGAGGGAGAGTATTAGCAATTACAGTGGGTTAGTTAGTTAGTTGCAACTAACTGATAGAGGTCTTATCCTTGTATATATGTGAGGCTAATAGAGGTCTTATTGTTGCATATATGCGAGGCTGATATCACTTATAATTCAGTTAGCTGTATTCATAATATTGGTCTTGGTTTGAATGTACGTATATTTATTTAGATTTTTTAAATAAAATATAATTATAGTAATAATATTTGTATTGAGCATGTTTTACATAAACCAGGTTAAATTAAAAAGAAAATATTTTAGCTTTGATCTAATAAGATAATGGTTGGAATTTCACTACTCAAATTTGAACAAGTGAAATGTCCCTATAATCAAAAATCTTTTCACGTCTGGCAAGTGAATTGTCTTAATGCTATAATCACACTTCATTATTGTAACATAATGTTGATTACAATATTAACAACAGGAAACAAAGGTGAAAGTGATCGTTCTATTTCTATCTTCTCATCCATTTTGAACTGTAAGCTTGAGTTCAATAAATCTAAGACAGACAAACACCATCTATATATTTTTTTTGCCTTGATACATAAACTATAATAAAACCAAATAAAGATTCTTCAAGAAATGCCTATGGTTTTCCCAAGCAGCCAAAGAACTAGTGATAGCTGAATACCAAATATGGTGTGTAACGTACTCCTATCCAACATGAATCCATATACAGTAATTCCTGCCTTGTTATTCTCAAAGTAATTTACTGCAAAAATCAAAAATAGTTCTTCAATTCAAACATGTATATTTATTTACTTAAAACACAAGAAACTATAATTGGGTATGAAAATTTTACCAAGAGCTTGTCTTTTCTGATAAGAGATAGTACTGTAAGAATAAGATGCAATCAACTTTGTGTTATCAATTTCATCTTCTTCATCACCAGCATCATCACCCTCTGATTCCCCATCTGTTCCAACCCTAGGATAGATTATTTCGTGAGAAATCTGAGCCGATAGTCTTCCACCTTCGTCCGCTCCATCAAAAGAATCCAACGTCGCACAAACATGCCACTTGGCAGCTAACCCTGTGATCGCTTGTGCTTTGTGTGTTATCTTCGTTGCACTACGGAACATAATGGACAGCGCAGAAAGTAGCGTTACTGAACACAGCTGCAATAGAGTATAAAAACTTATGTAACAACTTGTTTACATCAATACATAAATATAAATAAATACTGTTGACAGATATTGAACTCAGGACCTACAATTTACAACTTGAAAAAGCAATTACTTACCATAAGTTCACCGGTTTTGTAGATACTAAGACCATATTTAGCCTTAGTAGTCTCAAGCAAACACACAAACTGGCTTCCAGTAATCAATATAAGCGCGATTAGAATAAATCTGCGGTATCTATGACTTATGATTCTCAAATGCCTTCTAATCCTCAGGTGTTCAGACATTACCGATTGCACATCTGAATCGACACGAAAGTACGTGGCAAAGTCTTGTAGCCGTAGGATCTGAAGATGACAGATCAAACGGAAGAGAACGCAAACTAGAAATATCACAGTGGTACGGTACAGCCATGAGCAGAGTTCCAATATGCAAGCTACTATATCACTGACGTACACATTTCCTAAGAATGGAATTTGTGATCCTCCTGATGTGTACCACCAGATTTTGTATGCAGACATTGCTATGAAACATGGACCCGCAAAAACCGAAATGAGCTTCAATGATCTCTGTATAAGAATAATATTGAAACAATTCTGATTAAGTCAGTTCAGTTGGTAGTTATTGATAGTTATGAAGAGACATCAGCAGAGTCAGAGTCAGTCTAATTTATTCAACTTTGAAAAACTATATTGAAACATAAAAAATGGTTAACCAGACAAGAAAATAAAGAGAGAAAACTAACATTGAGTTGTGCCATGTAATTCATTCGAACCGTCTCGCTCTCATCACAAAGCTTATCCAAAAACAAGAACCTCCGAAGCCCATACTTTCTAACAAACGACGAAAGACACAAAAACGACAGCGAAGCAACCGAGCTCAACGACAGCTGAACGACAGCGTCGTATGGTCGGGAGTGTCTGGCATCGCAATCCGGACAGGCAATAAAGAAGTGCGAAGCCGCGGGAACCGCCAGCGCGAAGACGAAGAAAACGAACCATGAGAGAGTCGCGGTGAAGGCGTTGGATTGGTCGACGCACATCCAGCGGAGGTAGCATCGGAAACTGGAGAGCTCGTCGTTTACGTGGGAGAGGCTGCGACTGTATTTGCCTTTGTTTTTGATATTGGTGTTGGTGTGGGTGGCTTGTAAGAGTGATTCTTCTGTGAATCGGGTTTTGTGGGTGGAGGTTTCGTCCATGGTGAGAAATGATTTGATTGATGAATTGGTGAATAGAAATGATTTGATTGATGAAGATGAAATGAATTGTGAATAGGAAATTTGTGATTTGTTAGTTGTTGTGTTTGTGTATTGTATCTGTGTGTATAAATAGGTTGGCCAACACTTGGGAAATCATTTTGGGATTTTGTTTTATTTTAATCAAAAGTTGTTAAACTTCTGTTTTATGTAATATTTATATAAGAAATTTTGGCCTAACTTTTAATTTTTTTTTTTTAAATTGTTATAAAATAAAGAGAAGAGAAAAAAAATAGAATGTTTCTTTATTATTTGTAATAGTATACAATGAGATGGATCCTATTTATAGGATATCATATAGATAATATAATAAATACAAATTGATTAAATAATGAATGAAGTTATTGGGAGACAAATCATCCAATTATTCATAATACCTTCTCTTTGATGTTTGTTTTGGATATGTCTGGTTAAAACTTTATTAAAAAAAAGCTAGTGAAAGGAAAAGAGTACAATATTCTTTTTAAAATAAATTTATTTCTCCCCTCAGCTGAACGATTATTTCTTTGAGGATGAAGATCAATCTTATGTACTAGTTGATTAAAAGTTCTACTTTGAAGTGACTTTGTGAAAATGTCTGCAAGATTGTCACATGAACGAATTTGTTGGGTGTTTATATCAACGTTCTTCTGAAGATCCTGAGTGAAAAAGAACTTTGGAGAGATATATTTTGTTCGGCCTCCTTTAATGTAACCATCTTTCAATTGAGTGATGCATGCAATATTATCTTCATATATGATCGATGTATTTGTTTTTCTTGAAGACAAACCACGAGTATTTTATATGTGTTAGATTAAGGATCTCAACCAAACGCATTCTCGACTTGCCTCATGTAGTGCTAAAAGTTTTACATGACTAGATGAAGTTGTTGCTATTGTTTGTTTTATTGATCTCCATGAAATAGTTGTACCACCACATGTAAACAAATAACTTGTTTGTGATCTGTCATTGCGAGGATCTGACAAGTAACCTGCATCTGTATAACCGGTTAATTCGAGTTTGGATACTTTGGTATAAAACAGACTCATGTTTATTATACCTCTAAGATAACAAAGTATATGTTTGACTATGTTCTAATATCTTCGTGTAGGTGAAGAATTGTATCTCACTAATAGATTGACCGTAAATGATATATCAGGACGTGTATAATGAGCAAGGTACATCAGTGCTCCAATTTCACTGAGATATGATACTTTAGGACCAAGCAATTCTTCATCCTTTTCTTGAGGTATGAAAGATCTTTCTCTACATCTAACGATCTAACAATCATTGGAGTAAACAATGGGTGACATTTGTCCATATAGAAGCATTTTAATATTGTTTCTATATAGCCTTCTTGATGTACAAATATTCCTTTGTCTGAATGTTTAATTTGTAAATCTAGACATAATTTTGTCTTTCCTATGCCATTCATCTCAAACTCTTTCTTTAAGCAATTCATAGCTTTTGGAAGATCTTCAGAAGTTCCAATAATATTTATGTCATCAACATAGACAACTATTATTGCAAATTATTTTCCTTATATTTTTATAAAAATACAAGGACAAATAGAGTTATTTGTATATCTTTCTCTAAGCAAATATTCACTAAGACGGTTATACCACATGCGTCCAAATTTTTTAAGCCCATAGAGAGATTTGTTCAATTTTATGGAGTAGTTTTTTTTAGATTCAGAATTATGTGCATTTGGAACATTGAATCCTTCTGGGAGTTTCATGTAAATTTCACTATCAAATGAACCATACAGATAAGCTGTTAAAACATCCAACATGTGCAAATTAAGCCCTTCATGTGCTACAAGGCTTTATAAATATCGAAAAGTACTTACATCCATTACAGATGAGTATGTCTCATCAAAATCAATTTCAGGTATTTACAAAAATCCTTGAGCGACAAGTCGAGCTTTGTATCTCACAATTTCATTATTTTCATTTCGCTTTCGCAAGAAAATTCATTTGTAACCAACTGGCTTCACACCTTGAGGTGTTCAAAATACAGGTCCAAAAACTTGTCTTTTGTAGAGTGAGTTTAATTCTGCTTCAATTGCATCTTTCCATTTTGGCAAATCCTCACTTTGCCTATAATTTTTAATAGACGTTGGCTCATGATCCTCTTTATCATTTATCACATTTAGCGCTATATTGTACAAAAAATATCTTCAATATCGACTTCATGTTGGTTCCGTTGTATTCCATTTTGGACATAATTTTTCGAGATCTCTTTATTTTCATGAGTTTTAGGTAACAATCAATCTCTTCTTGAGATAAAATGTTTATTATGTCTGAAGATTCTTTTAGATTTTCTATATCTTCACTTGGGTCATCTTTATTCTTAACTCCCTTTCTTATTCGAGGATTTTTATCTTTGGAACCGATTGGTCTGCTACGCTTCAGGTGTGGTTAAGACTCATTGGATTCTCCAACAAGGATATCCATTTTTATTGGAGCATTTGTAGCTGGTATATATGATTTTGTCACACCTTTTGGATCAGTGAATGCATTTGGTAGTTGATTTGCTAAGCTTTGCAAGTGAATTATCATTTGAACTTCTAGTTCACATTGTTTCGTTCGAGGATCAAGATGAGATAATGATAATTAATTCCAACTGATCTCTTTTTCTAGCTTCTTATTCTCTTCCTCTAATGCTAGAAGATTTGATTCATCAAAATTGCAATCAGAAAAATGAGCAGTGAATAAATCTCCTGTTGTTGATTCAAGGTATTTTATAATAGATGGAGATTCATATCCAACATATATTCCTATCCTTCTTTGAGGACCCATCTTAGTGCGTTGTGGTAGAGAAATTGGCACATACACCGTACATCCAAAAATTCTTAGATGGGAAATATTTGAAGAAGTGAAAAACACAAGAAGGGGGGTTGAATTGTAAAAACTTGAAATCAAATGCAGTCAACACTGTATTTTTATCCTGGTTCGTTTGATCTCAAACTACTCCAGTCCACCCGTCAAGGTGATTTCGCCTCTCTCCAACGAGGTCTTAATCCACTATATTCAACTGAATATTACAACTGCTTTAACAACTGCTAAAGCCTTCTTGAGTCAAACCACAAACCGGTTTCTCAAGGAAATACTTTCTTACAGATAAATGGAATCTAAGTGTGTTGAATGTTTTCTACAAAAACTGTTTATCACAACTGTGATACTACACAATTTAAGCTTATGAGAACTAGAGTGCTAAAATAATTGAGTAAATAATTTGAGAGCTTTAGCAAACTGAGAGTAAGGAAGATGATGAATAGCTTTAGGCGTGTAGAGGTTGTAGAGCATTAGCCAATTCAATCTTCACTGACTTGTTTATATAGCATTGGAAAAAGGTACGTTGGAGTCAGTTAATTCCATTTTATGCCAATAACATTCTTTCCAAATTGAGAAGATCTTGTCTGGAATGATGCCGTTGATAATAAAGTATCTTGAATGCACAGTACCGTTGCCACTTAAGCGTGTTCTGGCTTTGGCTTATTCTGACGCTGCTAGGTGCTGATGAGTTGTTGTTTTCTTGATCAGAGTTCAGATTGTTACGCGCAGATCTTGTTCATCAAGCTTCAGCGTAAGCACATGTTGATCTTCTGATTCTGGCATTTGATATAACATCCTCTGATGCTGATGTTGATATTTCATCTTCTGATGCTGATGATGATATTTTCTTGCTGATACCCATCAGAGTTTCTGTAGAACAGAATATGATTTTTTAGGTAGCATATGTCTTACATGAATCATACAATTAATATATCTTTGCATTTTGTTATCATCAAAACTTAAACTTAGGGTAGTAGATTCAAACTTTGTTCTAACAATCTCCCCCTTTTTGATGATGACAAAAACTAGATTTTTTCAATTGAAAATTAACGTAAAAAGTATCAGAGATAACCAAATAGTAAAGAGTATCAGAATTAAATAGGAAGTTATCAAAGATAAGAGGATAAGGGATAAAGAGATATCAGAGTTTAGATCGGAGATACTCCCCCTGAATTTATTACTTCCCTTTTTAATTCCATGAGTCCTTCAGGATTAGATCTTTATTGACTTTCTTTGAACATCAGAACATCAGAGCTTCAGTGTATCAGAGATGATTAACTTCTTGTACCTGTAAGCTTATGCAAAACAAAAACATTCAAGTATATCAGAGTGTTAGAATGTTTGAGACTTTTTGTCTCAGTAGTCCGTTATTGAAAAATATCATTCTTGTTCTCCCCCTTTTTGTCAGCAATCAAAAAGTGCACATAATATAAGCTAAAACGATCAGAGCAGAAAAATTGTTATATTTAATTCAAAGCTTAGAAGATAGTACAGAAAACATGGAAAGAAAGCAATGAAAACACCATGAATGAAAAACTAAGGTTGGGGTGGAAAGCGTGTGAACAGAGCTTCTAGCATGTTCTTGATTTGATCAGCAGTTTCCTTCTGCTAATGCACCATGCTGACGACTGTATCAATCTTGCCATCTTGCACATCCATCCTTTCCTTCATTTTCTGATCATTCTCATCCATTCTTTGCTGCAGACGAATATCATTCTGCTTCAGCTCTTCAAGAGTCTGCCTGTCCAAGGCAGCTTGAGAAACGTCAGAAACAGGATGCTTCTGAGAGCTTTCTGCAACATCTTAAGCTTGACTAACATCTTCAGCTTGAATTGTCTGATCTTCTGCTTGTTGAACTTTTGAAGCTGGACGTTTTTCAGACCATGGCTCACTATCCAGAAGTAGCACTTCCTCCTTCGGCAGCTGACTTTCAACTTCCTTCAGCAGCTTGCTGAAGTTCTGTTGGGCCTGTTCATAATTTATGTCTTGCAGCTTGAGGGCTTCAGCGCGTACCCACATTCTGAAATGTGTCCAGAATTGGTATGAGGCAGCGGGATCAATCATTCTAGGACAAACCTGCTTTAGAGAAGCAATCCAATTCTGCAAGCCTGTTTCAAAATTCAAAAT